GCGGAATCGTGGATGCGCACTGCTGAGGAGTCCCAAAATAGGACGAACCGGTCGTCCAGTCCTTCCAGGTTTTCTACGGTGGTCTAGCTTCAATCAACTCATGATTTCAACTATATAAAATTAATAAAAGTTATCATGAATAGAAATGGATATCAATTGAAGCTTCAATTGACTCACGCTTTTAACTATTTAATAATTGTTTATTTTAGTCTTTGAATAATAAACGATTGGATTTTCTAATAAAAAAATTTACATGAAAGTTATTGATTTTGTTGATTACTCATATTGGTAACAGATTTGTGAACCCAGTAAGTTTGCTACATTGAAAAGTTTAACCATGATCAAATATTGGTGTATTTTTTTTAAAAATCTACAGATAATAAAGAAAAAATATCTTGGAAAAGTATAACTTGTAGCACTACATATGCTAACCAATCGCATAATAAATGGTAAATCTAAACAAACTTTTTGTTTTTATTTATCAAAATATAACTTCATTTTATTGTTTTGTATTTCAGTATAGTTCAAAAAACCGTGCACATTTTTAGCTGTCATGGTTTTAGACCTTATTTTTAAAACCTAGAATAAATGATATGGACATTTAAGTAAACGTATAAAAGTTTCCAATTCTGATTAAATAAAAGCTTGCTTAATTCTCATCATAAAATCTATTGAAGTTGTAGCGGCTAAGCTATTTTATGGTGAATAACTAAGGTATGTTAATTAAGGATTGTCAATGCTCTGATAAAGTATGAACATATAGTGCATTCAACAAAGAGTGCGATATCACTTGAAGGTATGCAATAACTGGCTTGTAATATCAGTTCACTGTTGCAGCAAATCTACTTTCCAATTAACCGTATAATAAAATCTTCAATGCTGCACAAATAAAAGACTAGGTCTTACTGTTGGGTAGAATTTCTCTTTAGTTTTCAAATATACTGGCCTAACATATAATAGAAAACTTAGAATGGATTTTCAATGCCTAATCTCAATTATTCATGGTATTCCAACTCCTGAACCAAATAATTTGTAGTTCAACTTTCTTACTTATCCCCATTACCTCACGTGAAGGAGCATAGGCCGCTCACTAGCATTCTCCATTGAACTATGTTTTCTGAGACATTTTGTACTTTTTCCCATATGCTTTTCATCCTTTTGATGTCTACCTTAAATTCCTAACGCAATTTATTCCTTGATATTTCTCTTTTCTGTTCCCCTTCATAGATCCAAGTTAGTGCTTGCCTCATGATTCGGTCTGACGATTTCCGAAATGTTAGTCCTATCTACTTCCAACGTCTTTTCCCGATTTCCTCGTCATCTGGAAGCTGGTATGTCCTCTCCCAGAGTAGGTTGTTGCTGATGGTATCTGGTCAACGGACATTGTGTATCTTGTGTAGACAAGTGTTAGCAAATACTTGTACTATTTTGATGATGGTTGTAGTAGTTCTCGAAGTTTCAGTTCCGTACAATAGAACTGTCTTGACGTTCGTATTGAAGATTCTAACTTTGATGTTGGCTTGCAGACAGTTGTTTTAGATTCCATGTATTCTTCAATTGTAGGAATAATGTTCTTGATTTGCCAATCCTCGCCTTTACATGTGCATTGGATCCTCTTTGCTCATCAATGATGGTACGTGAATGTTTCTACATCTTCCAGAGTTTTACTATCGAGTGTGATTAGGTTGGTTGGTGTTCTCCGTGTTGTATTCGAGAATCTTGGTTTTTTCCTTGTGTATGTTGAGGCCTACTGCTGCAGAGGCTTCTGCTACACGGACTGTTTTCATCTGCATTTGTTTGTGTGTATGGGATGGAAGGGTCAGGTCATCTGAGGAGTCCGAATCGTCTAGTTGATTACGAGCTATCCATTGTAATTCGTGCTTCCCGTCAGATGTTGATGTCTTCATAATCCAGTTAACCACCGGAAGAAAGAGAAAGGACGAGAGTGGGCAGCCTTGTCTGACTCTGGTCCTCACTTGGAATGCTTCTGTCACCTGTCCTCCATGCACGGCACTGTATTGTAGTCCGTCGTATGAATTCCATATGATATTGACGATTTTCTCAGGTACACTACAGTTTCAAAGATAATTCAATAATGTTCTCCTATCCACATTGTTGAATGCCTTCTCACAATCAAGGAAGTTGATGTATAGTGACGAACTCCATTCAATTGATTATTCAACGATGATCCGCAGTGTCGCGATTTGGTCTGTGCACGACCGATCCTTATGGAATCCAGCCTGTTGATCTCAAAGTTGGGCGTCTACTGAATCTTTTATCCGGTTCAGCAACGCTCTGTTGAAAACCTTTCCTAGTACTGACAGTAGTTCTCACATTTGCTTAGATATTTCTTTAGTATCTTGATAAGATATCCTTTTTTCTAGTCACTTCGTACTAGTTCTTCCTCTCAAATCTTCTTGAATAGGAAGTGGAGCATTTTCGCAGTTACTACTATGTCTGCCTTTAGTGCTTCAACTGGTATGTTGTTTGGTCCAACTGCTGCTTTCTCACCCTTGATCTGTCTGATAGCCATCCTGATTTCTACGATTGTTGGTGGAGTGACATTTATAAGGGAGTCTGTGCGTACTGTTTTTCTGTCCAGTGATTCTGGTGTGGATGATCTATTCAGGAGTTGTTCAAAGTGTTCTACTTACCTGTTCTGCTGTTCTTGAATCTCAGTGATTGGCTTGCCTTTCTCGTTCTGGACTGGTATCTCTGATTTACTATATTTCCCTGCTAGTTTCTTCGTTGTTTCATACAATTGTTTCACATTTCCTTCTGTCATAGCTTTCTCCGCTGTCATTGCTACCTTTTCCACGTAACTCTTCTTGTTATCTTTAGTGCTCCTCTTCACTTGCTTGTTTGCTCCTGTGTATTCAGCTTGTGTCTTGACTTTCTCTGTTCTCGTTCGGCTCTTGATAGCTGCTGTCTCCATAGAGATCCGTTCCTTATAATGATGCTTCTTGTGTCCCAGATCCTCCTGACACGTTGAAGTTAGTATTTCTTTGAACCCTTTCCAATTGTCGTCCATAGTGGTTTCCTCTTGTTCCTTGAATATGCATACCTTGTAACGCTTGGAAATTGTTTCCGAGAGCTGTCTTGGACTCATTGAGTTTGACAGTATCTCGAAGGAAGTCTGTATTGAATCTTTGTAATGCTGTTTCTCCAGTTGTTCAATGCTTCCTTAGTTTCAGTTTCATCTTGGCAACTGTCAGTTTGTGATGAACTGAAACTATATCATCTCCTCTCTTTATTCTCATATCGTCCATGGATCTTCCGAATTTTTGAATGATGCAAATATGATTGATCTGATTCTCTGTAGTGTGGTCCGGTGATACCCGTGTAGCCTTATGCATACATTTGTGGACAAATATGCTACTACCTAAAATCATTTTGTTGATTGCACGTAAATTTGCAAATCTGTCACCATTATCGTTTGTTTCTCCCAGTCAGTCCATGTCGTCCCATGATACCTTAATACCTGGTGTTGTCCATTCCGACTTCAATGTTTAGATCTCTCATCGTGATGGTCAGGTTCTTTCCTGAGTTCTTTTCTGCCATCTGTTGCAGCCTCTCATAAAACTGATCTTTGTCATTTTCATTGATATCATTGATGGGTTTTCGGTGGCCCGACAACTGACTCTAAGTAGATCGTTTGTTGCATGTCGTTGAAATATACATGTCGCCAATCCTCGTATATAATCACCGACTTAAACTGCGTTGGTTCATAACAATTAAATAAGTCAAATACGAGAATTGATTTCGAATACATATATTTCATACAATCGTTGATCGGAAAGCGAAGCAAAACAAAATGACGCGCAATAGAGAAGGTTAGTGAGACAACTCGATTTATTCATATGTTGATCGATATTTGTTGTCAGACAAAAATAAGTTAAAGACATGTTGAAATCACGAGTCAATTGAAGCTAAACCACCATCGAAAACCTGGAAGCACTGGACGGCCTTTTCATCCTATTGTGGGACTCCTCATCAGTGCGCATCCACGATCCCGCACTCGCAAGATTCGAGCCAGAGCCCTTAACCGATAGACCACTGAGTCGGCATCCAGCGGTGTTAATGTCTAACTTTGACCGATCCACGAATTATGAGCGACCATTCACCAATTGCCTTCAGTGAGTTATTATCTCACAACAGACGTGGTTGAACTCCACTGGTCACTACTTCCCACTAGAACTCCAGGACATGTATCTTGAAGTCAGTCACTAGTGAGCATATGATTATAATCAACTTTGAAAAATACTGAAATCTCCACAAATCCCCTTCTGGTATAAGTTAGTTTCCATAATAAGTAACAGTATATATATATATATATCCCCACCGTTGCTGCTACCTTTACGTGGTGGTCGGCCTTGCCTATCGTGATGAAGCAATCGAGCTATACTGGCTGGAACAATCGTTCCTCAAAGTCCTACCATGCAAGGCAGGTCGGTTGAAGAGTGTTAAGACGGGAAGCAGCAAACCCGAGGTCCGAAGGCGAAGTCGTACTGCTGAATGTACAGAGGTGTGACGGCAGTAAGGTGTTTCCTTCAGACAACCAGCATGACAGCGATGCTGCCTTCCCACAAGGAGGGGTGGGGTTAGAAAAGGTCGACCCTAAAAATATACACCTCACCCTATCCCACGGATTTCCGTCTCCGGCGGTAAGGTCCTTTGGAAAACGGAGCTAACACAAAACTACCCACAAAAAGGTCGTGTGTGACCGACCTCAAGCAGTTGTCCCTTGGGCACTGAGGTCACGCTCTCAGGTCATTAAGACCACTTCTAATCCAATTTCCTTTTCAGGTACCTCTAGAAGAACCCTTCCACGGTGTGGGCAACCGGGAAGTGATAACTGCCCTCCTACCTCTAACCTCTACCATATATATTTATACAAATATGTAATACGGCAAAGTGACTTGAGATGTAAGTGAATCGAATGGAACTGACTCTAAATAGGTGCCCAGTTGATTTAGGTTTTGACCATCAAGTTTCATTAGTAAGTCATATAAACAGTTTATTTACAGAGAAAAATGAAAATCAAGCTCACAAAAATAATTAATATAGGTATATTAATTTATTCTTCATACATTTCGGTTTAACTTGCAAAACTGAAACACCGAATTCATAATAGATATCGAAAGATATATTTATTTGCCCGCAAGTTTTCTACGAAACGTATTTGAATACATTTTAGCTTGTGAACATTCTCTGTTGTCAATAGAGTCCAGTTTATTAACTGAACAACTCATAAATGAAACTTCACAACCTCTACATGAATTACAAAGTTTCTTCAATTCTTGAATGCCACTATAAGAAGATGAAATGACACCTTCGTTCAAACCTATTAAGTAAAATTTTAAAAAACAAATATCAACAGGCAAACACAAAGTTAGGCAAAACTTGGAAACTGTGGCTCATTTAAAGACAATGACGAAGATTTCAGTGAGCTTGAATAATTCTGTAAATTTTGTTTAAAATTTAACTGTTGAATAGAAATACATACAATACGGGGATATTAACTATTTTCTTCTAGTTTCCCTTGATAGCCTAAAAACATGTATTACTATGCCTTTTTCGAGGTCGGATTTGTCAACAATACTGTAAATTGTTGTGGCTGAGAAATTATATTTGACATAGTCACTTATTTAGGTAGACTATAGGGTGTTCATTGCTTTCTCGCTTTCGGTGATTTTTCATTTAATGTTATCAGGTGATGAAAGCCCATCATCGGAATTCAAATCGTCTATTAGGTTAGGCTGTAGTTCATTTGTTCCAATCATGAGAATTAATTTTTCAGATCTCTGAAACATTTAAGATATTGCACTAGTAATAACTTAATCCTCGGTTTCTGATTTGCACGACTAAAATTATTACTACAATCAGATTATAATAAAAACTATATTCAACCTTTATATATCTCTATAAATCACCTAAATAAATAACCGATTGATTTTCTCCCAAATAATCGATAATCTAAGTGCTAGTAAAAATGAAATTATAAAATTGTGGTGTTTATATGAACCAGTCATTCTTTTGTACTTGATGACCACTTTATTTCAAATTCCAATTACAATACATTCGTTAATGTTCATCTAGTACTTCTTGATTAAACTACGTTATTTCTGCGATGCCTAGTTTATACTATAATTCAAATACTCTTTATTATCACAAAAATTCATTGAGCGACTTACCAAGACAACGCTTTGAAATTAAACTGGAAAGCAAGCAATGTCTAAACAATATTTCCAACCTTTTTGTACAAGCTGAATATGAAGATGTGTTGTTATGAACAATTTTGAATAAGAGTATCAATAGAATAACATGAATCTAAATCAAGATATGGAGAAGTACGACATAAAAAATATTTTATCCCTTAAACTTGGAAAAATATAAGAACATAATACTGTAAAATTGTGATTACTGAGAAGCTCCTAATATCCATGTAATTTATCCTTTAATTAATCATCTTTTGCATATACATTAATATTATTTTGAGTAGATTTATTCAAACGAATAGCATTACTACTGTATTAATAGTTCTAACAATATTATCCTGTTAGTGACTCTTAAAATTTTGTTTCCTATAATGTAGTTTAATACAACAAACTAAATGAACCTGTAAAAATTTACTTCGGTGACTACTTTTCGGTTTATATGTGGAAACTTGGAATATCTAGATATTTATATCGTCATACGTTAGTTAATCATTGACTAAAATGTTGATACTGAACAGACGCTTTGGGCTTAACTATTCTTTTAATAACTTCATTTTGAATATGACGATATTTTTATATATACTTGAAATCATGAGTCAATTGAAGCTAGACCACCGTAGGAAACCTGAAAGCACTGGACGGATGTTTCGTTCTATTGTGGGACTCCTCAGCAGTGCGCATCCACGATCCCGCCTCGCGAGATTTGAACCCAGGACCTACCAGTCTCGCGCCAAAGCACTTGACCGATAGACCACCGAGCCGGCATCCAACGGTGTTAATGTCTAACTTCAACTAATCCTGGGTTCGAATCTCGCGGGGCGGGATCGTGGATGCGAACTTCTGAGGAGTCCCACAGTAGGACGAAAGGGCCGTCCAATCCTTCCAGGTTTTCTACGGTGGTCTAGCTTCAATTGACTCATAATTTCAAGTGTATATAAAAATTACTAAAAATCTCCACAGAAAACTCCCTTATGATGATGTCTGTCAAAATTCCATCATTTTGTGCACTAATATATTTCAAACTATATTGCATGTGGAAAATATCGCTAGATGATTTGTAAAGACCGTTTACTCTGAATCCCCTTAGAGGCACCCTGTGAGTTGGCTAAAACTATTGAGATTGTAACATTAAAATCGATTATAAAGTTTTACGTGATAAAACTATTTACTCACTGAAGTAAAATCAGATTAGACTTTTGAAATTTTCACTGTTCTCTCTTATTATCAATCTAAAAGTAAAATATTTTCCAGAGTTTGGGTTAGAAGAAATAACCTCATGGTTTTTAGAACATTGCGGTAAAAGACAAGAAATTTTGTCTAAATTTGTTCTAATAGTTCCACAGTTCTTGGGCTCCTAGTTAATGTGAGACATTAAGGAGGAAGAATGCATTTTGTAAAATTTCAACGAATGAATTTAAAGTAAATCCAACGTTTTGCCTAGCAATCTGGTTCAAGCTTTTTCAATCAAACATCAAAATTAACGAATATAAATAAGTACATTGTTCTCTGGTTAATTACATACAAAAAGTCATCTAATCAACATTAACAAAGTTTAAAGTAGGTATTTGGTTTAGTATATAAGTGGTATGAAAAGGATGAATAACAACTGGAAAGAACTGGAAGGGATTGAACAGGAAAAGGTTGTATGGAGAATGCTGGTGGACGGTCTATGTTCCTCCACGAGGGGTAACAGGCGTAAGTAAGTGTAAGTGACATGTGGTGTGAAAGGAAAAGAGTGATAAACTGACAGATTGTGTGTATTCGTAAGTGGTGTGAGAAGACATTTCATTCACTATATATATGGTAAAAACTTGGTTCTGAATCATCCGGAATACTGTAAAAGTATAATAGAAGTTAGAGACCGTTGACTTTCTTCAAAATTCAGTTCATTGACACCAGTTAGTTGGTACAACTGTAATTACTCTTTTATACTTCTAGTTACTTATTATTTGATTGCCTTTTCAATTGTTTTGCACAGACTTTTTCATTTAGGTGTTTAATGGCTCAAACACAAGAATACTGTTAAATTTAACTAACGTTTAGTTATATATATAATGATGCTCACAATGTATTTCAAATATAGTGAATCTTTACAATACAGATTGTAAAATTTCAACTCAACAACTAGATGGTTCCGCTCCTATGGTACGGCCTAAGTATAGGGAATATTATGCTGTATGAAGTCAAGAATATAATCTGCTAAGATTTCATTGTCTAAGAGAACATAAATATCCAGAGCTTTCAAGATTTAAATGAACTGTAATCTGGCGTTATTTTGTGACAAAAATTGTTGAGTCCATACTAGCCACATAAGTAAATAATCATAATGTAAATGTCTTGCCAAAACACAACTCACCATACTCGAGACGGACATGGTTACAGTATTCCATTAACTCCCTTTATTAAAGACACCGTTTCTATGAAATTTGCACTATTTAAACTGAACGCAAATTTATATCATTCATAAGATGAAAACGAGCAGAAAAACCGGAAGTGAACAAAATGACAACTATTATCTTAATTAGACAATTATGGGTGTCAACTGAATTTTAAAATGTAAATTTTGACCAATTTGAAAATCATTAATCTTATAGGACGAGTACAAATATGGTGATTACAATTATTCCCGGAATTCGAAGAAGATTAAATGGAAGAACGAGTGTGTTCACAATAATGCGTCGGTTAACTGACGGAGATTGAGAAACCCAATGGTGGAGTGAACTCATCTCCCAAATTGTCATCATCATGCTCATTGCCAATACGGTCACCAACAAATCGCTAATGACCACGATCGTCGTCACCCTGTTCCCCTCATCTCCATCATCATGACGGTGTTCAACATGACCGATTCGTTTGTGACCTCCTCATGTACCACTTGGCATCGACGAACAGACGTACATTGAAATGCTCATCAACACGCTCACCCACAATCACACCTAAACGTGTCTTGATGAGACGATCACGTGATATTGTGTTTGGTGATTGACTCGCGACTCCACACACTGTTGTAGGTCTCGACCGATCTCGAGGAATCACATGCCTCTAACACCGACTACCAGATGTTTATGTTCAGTCGGGTTTGATGAGAGCACTCCGTTTGTCTGGAGAGTGTATGATTGTTGTTGATGTTGATGATGATGATGGTGTTGTTGTAGAATAGGTGTTTGGTGTTTGATTTGTTTGTGGTAGATTGTTTGCATGTCCATGTCCATGCGAAGCATGCATATGAGTGTTTGTGTGTGGATGTCTGTTTGGATTGTAGTGATGGTGGTGTTTTTGCGTTGATTGTAGTGTTTGTAGTTGAAGGTGTTGTGGTATGGTGTGGTGTTGGAGATGTGAACTTGTGACAGTGGCGAAATTGGGGGTATAGCTCAGTGGTAGAGCATTCGACTGCAGATCGAGAGGTCCCCGGTTCAAACCCGGGTGCCCCCTTCACTTTTCCACAATCAACCACATACTAACACACTAAATACTAAGAAAACAAACAGACAACTCTACCAAATATCATGCACAATCACCCTCACTATCTATCTCACACGTCCGATGAGTACCGACGACAATTCAAAAGTCGATCACACAATACACTGTACAAGTTTCAAATGCGTATACACTTTCAAATATATGTATGGAAACTCTCCTACTGATGTTTATTCACTCAAACACACACACACACACATGTCAGAATATTTATATACACATTTCTATATACCTATATTGTGGTGTGTATCATCAACAACAGATCGGAATCCTATCTCGGATCGCCTTCCCAAATCTCATTTTGGTCGGACATCACTGTCGATACAATTGTGAGTTCCTCGTCCATATGTACTGTTGAGATTTCGACACGTGTACACACTAACACATTTCGGATGGACGACCACTGGAAATATACTGTGCTCATCGAGTGATCGTGTGTTCACAATAATGCGTCGGTTAACTAACGGAGATTGAGAAACCCAATGGTGGAGTGAACTCATCTCCCAAATTGTCATCATCATGCTCATTGCCAATACGGTCACCAACAAATCGCTAATGACCACGATCGTCGTCACCCTGTTCCCCTCATCTCCATCATCATGACGGTGTTCAACATGACCGATTCGTTTGTGACCTCCTCATGTACCACTTGGCATCGACGAACAGACGTACATTGAAATGCTCATCAACACGCTCACCCACAATCACACCTAAACGTGTCTTGATGAGACGATCACGTGATATTGTGTTTGGTGATTGACTCGCGACTCCACACACTGTTGTAGGTCTCGACCGATCTCGAGGAATCACATGCCTCTAACACCGACTACCAGATGTTTATGTTCAGTCGGGTTTGATGAGAGCACTCCGTTTGTCTGGAGAGTGTATGATTGTTGTTGATGTTGATGATGATGATGGTGTTGTTGTAGAATAGGTGTTTGGTGTTTGGTTTGTTTGTGGTAGATTGTTTGCATGTCCATGTCCATGCGAAGCATGCATATGAGTGTTTGTGTGTGGATGTCTGTTTGGATTGTAGTGATGGTGGTGTTTTTGCGTTGATTGTAGTGTTTGTAGTTGAAGGTGTTGTGGTATGGTGTGGTGTTGGAGATGTGAACTTGTGACAGTTGCGAAATTGGGGGTATAGCTCAGTGGTAGAGCATTCGACTGCAGATCGAGAGGTCCCCGGTTCAAACCCGGGTGCCCCCTCCACTTTTCCACAATCAACCACATACTAACACACTAAATACTAAGAAAACAAACAAACAACTCTACCAAATATCATGCACAATCATCCTCACTATCTATCTCACACGTCCGATGAGTACCGACGACAATTCAAAAGTCGATCACACAATACACTGTACAAGTTTCAAATGCGTATACACTTTCAAATATATGTATGGAAACTCTCCTACTGATGTTTATTCACTCAAACACACACACACACACATGTCAGAATATTTATATACACATTTCTATATACCTATATTGTGGTGTGTATCATCAACAACAGATCGGAATCCTATCTCGGATCGCCTTCCCAAATCTCATTTTGGTCGGACATCACTGTCGATACAATTGTGAGTTCCTCGTCCATATGTACTGTTGAGATTTCGACACGTGTACACACTAACACATTTCGGATGGACGACCACTGGAAATATACTGTGCTCATCGAGTGATCGTGTGTTCACAATAATGCGTCGGTTAACTGACGGAGATTGAGAAACCCAATGGTGGAGTGAACTCATCTCCCAAATTGTCATCATCATGCTCATTGCCAATACGGTCACCAACAAATCGCTAATGACCACGATCGTCGTCACCCTGTTCCCCTCATCTCCATCATCATGACGGTGTTCAACATGACCGATTCGTTTGTGACCTCCTCATGTACCACTTGGCATCGACGAACAGACGTACATTGAAATGCTCATCAACACGCTCACCCACAATCACACCTAAACGTGTCTTGATGAGACGATCACGTGATATTGTGTTTGGTGATTGACTCGCGACTCCACACACTGTTGTAGGTCTCGACCGATCTCGAGGAATCACATGCCTCTAACACCGACTACCAGATGTTTATGTTCAGTCGGGTTTGATGAGAGCACTCCGTTTGTCTGGAGAGTGTATGATTGTTGTTGATGTTGATGATGATGATGATGGTGTTGTTGTAGAATAGGTGTTTGGTGTTTGGTTTGTTTGTGGTAGATTGTTTGCATGTCCATGTCCATGCGAAGCATGCATATGAGTGTTTGTGTGTGGATGTCTGTTTGGATTGTAGTGATGGTGGTGTTTTTGCGTTGATTGTAGTGTTTGTAGTTGAAGGTGTTGTGGTATGGTGTGGTGTTGGAGATGTGAACTTGTGACAGTGGCGAAATTGGGGGTATAGCTCAGTGGTAGAGCATTCGACTGCAGATCGAGAGGTCCCCGGTTCAAACCCGGGTGCCCCCTTCACTTTTCCACAATCAACCACATACTAACACACTAAATACTAAGAAAACAAACAGACAACTCTACCAAATATCATGCACAATCATCCTCACTATCTATCTCACACGTCCGATGAGTACCGACGACAATTCAAAAGTCGATCACACAATACACTGTACAAGTTTCAAATGCGTATACACTTTCAAATATATGTATGGAAACTCTCCTACTGATGTTTATTCACTCAAACACACACACACACACATGTCAGAATATTTATATACACATTTCTATATACCTATATTGTGGTGTGTATCATCAACAACAGATCGGAATCCTATCTCGGATCGCCTTCCCAAATCTCAT